TTTTTTTTGTTTTTGTGATGCTGACGTTTTTGCTTGTTTTGTGGTTTGTTTAATTTAGGTTCCTTTGCTGGTGTCTTGTTTCTGTGTTTTTTCTTTTGTGTGTTTTTTGTGTGTGTAAATGTTGCCTTTCCTTATTATTCCATACATCTCACATACATACATACACACGAAGGGTATCCTAAAGGTTCCTTTGCTTAAAAGCATAGGAACAACAAGATAAATTACGTATTAAATTGACCACCTCCCTATTAATCTGGAACTTAAGTTGTAATGAATTTCCTTCTTTAACCGTAAGACTATGAAACCAACAAATAAAGGAAGAGGTTAAAACACTCTCAATAAAGAATAAGCTACTAAACTATAACATTTGCACCAAATTAAAAAATTGCATTTGTATACATGTAGTAGCGCTAGGAGGGGACAGTGCTATGTAAGTGCCTGGGCCACTGGAGTGAAAATATTAGGATTGAAAAATTGTTACCTATTTTGGAAGAATAAACATAAATATTTAACATTTTATTATCTAAAATCACTGTTTAGCTTCACTTCCCACACCACACTTATGTCCTGTCACTTATCCCCACTAGATATCCTTTATTGTCAGGCCACTCTAGTAAAATATACAATAGTAAAAATATAATATTAAACATGGTTTGACTGTTTTTGTTATAAAATTAGACATCTAAAAATGTAAAAAGCCCATACCTTGTGGGGAAACTCTCCCACTTCCCGCGCCTGTAAACTTCATTCAACCCCAGCAGGCCTCACATAGCCCCTAGACCACTGACTTTACTTTCTGTATGATAACTGCCTAATATAAACTTACAGGGCTCAGAGTGAAGATGTATTTTTGTAACGAGGAAATATCCTAGTGTCACAGAACCAATGGGTTAAAATGAAAGCATCTTAACTACCATTGACTGCACATGACAAGTAAATCATTTATTTTTTGTTAATAGGAGATTCAATTAATGAATTTTTAAATTCTTATTTATGTTGTTTCTCTAAATCAACAAACACAATATATCACAACGTATTATTAATAAATAACTAATTTCTCAAGTAATCATAAATATTAAATTGCTCAACACTTACCTATGATGGTTACAGTGAAGGTGCATGAACCAGTATTACCACTGCTGTCAGTTGCAGTACACGTAACAGTAGTGACACCAACAGGAAATGATAGGCCAGAAGATGGAGTACAGGTAGCTGACAAGCCAGTGTCAATATCATCAGTTACTGTTGGTGGATTCCAACTTCCAATTCCTCTTGATTGGCCTGGAAACGTATCTACATTAAAACTACTTGGACAGGTCACAACTGGTACATCAGGTACAGATACTACAGAGAAAATAAGAGTTACAGAATCATGCAGACTTTCACACAACATTCAAAAATTTATTCTAAAAATACATCACCATGATTCTTCAGGTGCAGTAATCTATTATAAATGAGTGGTGACGTCATCACTTTTATTTGCACTGAATTTTCCTATTCCCAACTGGACACTATATTGATATACCGCCTCAGATATTTTGCATCTCATGTGAAAAAAAGCTTAAAGCTGCAGGGTAATTTTACTACAGTACATCGCAATAGAATATTTCATTGCTACGCCAAGCTATGAACGCACACTCGACGAACATAACAAATCTCTCTCTGGTTAGCACAAATGAAGCCTAAATTCAAGATTTAAGATTCGGGAAAAACTCAGAAATTACAGTCCACTGGCAGTGTTACAAGTGTTCATAACATATACAGTAATAAACAAAAGACAACTCAGGATATAAAAATATAAAACTATGAGCATTAAACAATATATATTCATAAGAAAGAGCACAAACAGAATATTAAACAATATTACAATTGAAACCTAATTAAATTAGGCCAAAATTGTACTTAAACAACAATTATCTATTAACATTAATATTATGAAGGTGAATCGATTTGGAATGAAGGAGATTCTATGATGGCAAAGTTTGATGAGTGGTACATTCAGACGAAAACGAGAGTTAAGAGTAAATGTAGTGAATGAGTGGCCTAGAAAGGCATAATGGTTATGAGATAACAAGGTGATTTATTTTAAAACTACTGAAAAAAATACTGAAATAGTTCATATGTTCACAATATATTTTAATCTATTAAAGAACTACCAGGAGTTTAGGTCTACTTAATAACCCCTGATAAACTTTGATAACCGCAATCAATTTATTCATCTTCTTCTTATCGTGAAGAGCCGTGCGAAAGAGTGTCAGTGCATGTACTACTAAGAAATCATTCTAATACGCGCAGGTTATGTAAACACACAGTGATCACTAAGCAACCAGCACTTCGATGGATTTATAGGTCCTATAGCAACTGCTCTAAAGACCAGCAGTTTGATTATAAAAGGGCATAGAAAAGGCAATAGACATGACAACTGACTTTATAAAGCAATTATAGCCAAGCAATTTCATACACTATAGGAAATAAAAGACTGAGGAATATTTCCTTCAAACTTGGCTTCAGCCCTGAAGACTTCAAGCGTATAGTGCAGCGCGCTACTGTATATGATCTTTTGGTTACAGTAGCTTATAATGACGTCCTGCTGCTAAAGAGGTATCGTAATGACCTAACTTCATAAAAAAAATTGCCAAAAATAGATTTTAAATTTGATTCTATTAAATGATATATCAAAATCCACTCCGGAAATAAATATCCTCTTTCTAGGCCCCTTTTTAACTGTACAGTATTACTGATGGCATGCCATCCAAGCACAAAATTGATAGAAAAACTTTCTTAAACATTCTAGCTGTATTCTCAAAAGTGGACTATTTTCTGAATACAGGCCTCGATCTGTTTTGTTAATACAGTAGGTAAAATAATGTCATGATGCTCATTAACTCATTAATAGTACAATTATAAAATGATGACTAAATTTGAGAATGGTCTTTAACAGAAACAGGCAAGTGATTCCACAAAAAAAAAATGAATGTTTGTACCTCCATACACTAGAACTTCACACAGAGTGAGCTTCATGTTATTAGTGCCACTTCGATATAAGAAAACATAACGTCCATTAATTGATGGAATGCAGTTTATGAAGTAGTAACTGGAGGATCTCAGCATGGTTGATGTGGTGATAGTAGATCCACACAGGTTACTACTACTACTACTAGGGACTGCATATGTCTTTTCAACATACACCTCAGTGTCAATCAGACTGGCTGCAATACAAAATGTTAAAACTGTATTTAGTTAGTTAAGAGTTATTAGTGGCCTAAAGGTTCATTCATATCATATATTGCTATTTTTTATTTTTCACACACTACTTATTGTGTCCATTTCACCAGCATTTCGCAAACTTTTGAATTCACTGCTTATTTACGATTCCAGACACAAAGCCACAGCCCAGCAGCCCAGACGCGCCAGGGACCAACATACTGTACTAAAACCTGACAAGAACCTTTCAACATATTAAAAGCCTCCATGTAAATACAATAGTTTGACATCATTATCTGTTCTCTCAGTGACAACATTTTATTGTCTACAAATTAAATAGTATTTTAATAGAGAAATAATACAATACACTTTTGTTTTCCCCCCGACAATAATTGACTGTTTTTTTCTACCATAATTCAACCGAACAGAGTCCATCCTTCTTCCAAAAACTTTCACGCACACTCAGTCACTCCACAACTTTCAAAGACGATCTTGTGGTTCATCCACTACTTTAGCAGCGTGCACAAAATGTGCATTCGCAGTAACAATGAAGCGGATCTATTAAAACTATTTTCTCCATGTTAAAATTATCTTTGTTATTGTTTTTTTTTTATTTCTCAGAAAGCTTCGCAGCCCTCCAAAAATGTCTTGATGCCAAAATTTGGGCCATGGCCCTTAGTTTGCGGAATGTCGCATTTGGCAATATGCTGTGGTGAATACCAGCACAAAAAAACATTTATTTTTTTTTAGTTACATATGATTTAATTTACATGTATTATTGTCAGAAGCATTTAAAATTTACCTTGGTTTCCATTTTCTGGATATATAAGAACATAGTTAACACTGTAGATGTCTCCTAAATCAACAAACCAATAATAAGGATTCTGCTGTTGCACTACTAAAATAACAAAAATATTGTTCACATTAATTAATAGTCATTTGCATGTATAATATCAGAAACTTATAAAATGAATATAAAATTATTAAATAAAAGCTAGAATACACAACTTGCAGTTAAAACGTTAATAACAAAGAGATCACTATTCGTACTAGCCTATATGAACTCAAAATGGTGTTGAATCCACAAAAAGTGTTCCTGATCAGTAATCAAGCCCTCTATCAAGCCCCATTCAGACAGAGCTGTAATATCGTAATATTGTGGTGAGCACGCCGGCATGGGTTTATGTCTGAAAGGGTTGATACGCCAATATGCTGGCTTACTTTAGACCACCTCACACCCTAGTAATATTGTTGCAATATTGCGGTAACGGTTACTGGCTTGCTCTGTCTGAAAGGATACTGCGGCAATGAAGCCACGGTGTGCATTATTTATTTTTATTTTTTCACTTCCTTTCGTGGGTTGTCAAAAACAAAGCTCCCATTTTTCGTTGCCATTGTGAAAACTATTGTTTAAATTATTTAAGTCAACCAGTAAGAATCAACACAACAAGAACATTTATTACACAATATTATTTATTTTATTTTTTGTACACTTTGAGGAAGGTGGCATAAAACATCAATAAAACGACAGTCATCAGCCCTTCTACACTAAAGTAAGGTTAAATTTACTGCCCTTGGATCAACATTTACACAGTAACAGATGTAAGGTTTGATCGGACACCATATTGACAAAAATGTAAATAAAAAATTGCCCCCTCTGTGTTTTAAACTGCCTGTATTACGCCATTATATAGGACCCTTTCTTACAATAAAGTGTTAAATTACCAAAATATTGCCATAACAAAGGCACTGTGTCAAAGGTAGACCAGTTATTAAGCCGCCATGCTTACCGCAACATTGCGGTAACATCTATCTTAAAGGGGCATCAGAGAGTGGGCTAAAAATAATTTTTGTTATTAACAATCTTTTCTATTCATCAACTTATACTCCATCAAACTAATTAAATATGATTGAATAAAAATTTTTTTAATAGTTTAGAATTCAGAGACATTAAAAAAAAAAGGCCTACTGTACATTTAAATTTTGCTTGATTATTGGATTTTATCAAGATACAGTACTGAAGAAAAGGATCTGATTTTACATTTTAGTACTGTTATAAACTTTTTGAGGAGAAATAGTATTCAACTCCAATTAAAATTTTTGCTACAAATCAGGCCCTGGGATTTAAGTCTTCTGCTTGGTGGATTTGGGTCTCATGTTTTTAAAGAAGGTTGTGGTCTTGTCAAAAAAATGCTGGTCATGACAGGCTCCTTAAGGCCCAGGCCCAGGATTTATCAATCTCAGCTTAGCAAATGTTTTTAATCACAGTAAGTCAAAAAAAAGTTAAGATGTCCCTACGCAAATATCTTAAGCTGATTTATCAAACATCTTAGCAAAATCTTAAGCTTAAAAATCGTCTTAGATGGCACATCTGTACAATTGAATTTTAAATTTTAAGACATTTTTAAGAAACCAATATTGATAAATTTGACTTTAGCAAAAGAAAATGGACTTAAGACGAACTTAAGCTGATTTCTAGTTTGATAAAAAATGCTGATCATGAGAGGCCCCTTTAGGTCCCGGGCCCAGCAGCAGTAGTGTATGAACAGTACAGTACAGTTTTGTTCCTCCCACTGATGCCAGTCACATCCAAGAGGCAGTCTTCTCAGCATCCAAATATATGCTGGGTCCGACTGTTGAAGGGTTTTCATGACTGAGTTAGCTTCTTAGCTTGACGAGGATCGCACTGAAGGAGATTGCTTAATTTAATCCATGGGTCACGATAGTAAGGTTTTCGGGCTTGTGCAAAGAGCATTCGCTTTGTTAACGAGTTATTTGGTTGTCGGCAAATATGGGCTATATAT